GACTCCACAAGTCATGGTAATGATGAATATTTCTATTTAATCTGAAACTTAAATGGACTGTTTGCCCTGCCTGTTGGTGAAATACAGGCTCTTCTCTTCCTAAGGCCCTAAGTGAAAAGAGAAAGTGAAACCACATGGCAAAGGTTAGAAAAAACACTGTTTTACCGATGTGAAGGTCTGAAGAAACAAATTAAGTAATTACAGTGCTTCTACTTTTCTTCTGTGGCTAAATCAGATTGTTTTGCAGCAAAAGGCATGTAAATGGACAATATACCAGCCAACAATTTGCTATTAGCTTAAGCCAGATGAAAAGCTAGGATGTGAGATGCCATTCACAAAACTAAAGCAGCCCAAATTTGCAATAATTATGTGAATTTGATGCTATATCAGATCAATGAACAAAAACAAAAAACAAAGCTAAACCCAAACAAAGAATCAGAAAAAAAGAAATGAAACATAAACACATGAAATAATCTAGATATCTCATTTTACTGGATGAAATGAAGGAACTTCCTCGCTGTAAATGGCTTACAGTAGAACTGAAAGTAGATGTGCTTGTCCTCAACCTTTTGTACATTTATGAAAAAATAAATAATTTGTTGCCCTTAAAAATAGACAAGATGGCATTCGATCCATTTAAAGCTACATGAATGAAAACTGGCATCTCACCAGTCTGTCTGGCAATGTAAATAATGCATTTTTGCAAGCTGCTATTTGTTTGCATTTCCTTACTATATTTTTTGCATTTAATCTGGAAAATATACAGCAGTGACCTTAGTTATGTAGTTGCCTGCTGAAGCGACATGATCCTCTTTGTGCAAACCCACTACTTGTAAAGTCTGAACATGCCAAAAACTGTATATCAGTTTTTTATTTTTAGTATAGACCAAGATAGCATTGGCCTCCTCCCTCTTACACTCTCCCTGCCCATCCATCTTACTTTAATCAAATAGTTGACTCATGTGAGTTTTGGACAACTGATTCTTTGACAGATTACTGCAATTCAGAAAGCTTTGCTGTTACACTTCTGGGTCCAGTTGGTATTCTCTGATTACTGGTCATGGCCTTATGTGAACTGGATCCTTGGTCTTAATGTGCTCTGATATTGCACAGGTCATGTGCTGCAAAAACTGTCATTGCAACAAGCAGCTTAGGCAGTGGTGACCAGAAAGAGGCAGGAACAGGTCCTGCTCTATAAGTAGCTATTCCCATGTAGAATCACACCACAGATATGAGTGTTCATTGTGAATGTCTCCAGAGACCCCCATGAAATCTGCTGTGGAGATAGCACTGCCAACAGAGAATCTTTAATGGTAGAATTATGATCTTCAATTTTCTTTTGGTGTCTCTTTTTACATTTCCAGCAACTTTTTCCTTCCCAATTTGTGATTTTGTATATTACGATGGATGTTATTGCCCTAGGTTTTTACTGTGAAAACTGTCTCAAAAATGAGGTTTTAACTTTCTGAAAAATCAGTTAATTCAAGATTTTACTTAATGCAAATAATCAGGACAACAAATTTTATACTATAAGCCTTTATATTTTTATCATCTTCTTTTGGAATTTTTTTTCATTATAATTAGCTTTAATCCTTCCTTCCCATCTGAAAAATAATTTTTTCTGGATCTCATTTCCATAATGTTTCAATTAAGAATGTTTCAATGTTAGATATATGAAAGCTTTGGAAATATAAACAGTAAATATAATTGCATAAGTGAAGTAAAATCAATAATTTAATTTTGTTTCCTAATCTAAATCACTGCCTGGAAAAACAGAAAAAACAGGTCCACTCTCAGAGGGGCAAGCATTTTTCTCTAAAATTCATCTGGAAACTTAAAAAAATTCCTGGTTTGCATGGTTTTACTGAAATTAGCCTGAAATATTGCACAAACTTACGCTGATTGTTATACATTTTGGAAAATAAAAAATATAAACCCTGCTTCTGTGGCTGTGATATGTTGTTCTGTGAATTTAAAAGTGCAGGACAATGGTTTACGTATGCAAGCTTTAGAAACCTTCTGATTATAAAGATGCAATTAGGCTGGAAAAATTACTAATCCAGCATTGTATTTACTCCCAATGGGCTTTTAGCAATACTTAGCCAGGTTTTTTACATATTTTATTGATTTCACTCTGACATACGGAAATTTAAATTGTTGTTGCAGTCATTCAAGGTAGGACTTCATCTACACCAAATAATTTATGTTCATCAAAGTGCTTATTTATATATAATACAACTGCACAACCAGTACAGAAAAAGCTGTGATCTCCAATGACAAGTTTATAGTTCAGACAATTAGGAAAATGTCCACTAAGAAACGGAGTGCAACAAATGGTGAGATTCCCAACTCACACACCCCACAGGAACTATGGCTTGCCTCTACCAGCAATGGTTAAGGCAGATGATCTGGTGTGGGAAACAGACTGCAGCCTGGAGGTGATACAGCTGTAGTTGTTCAGCTTTGCACTGGGATTCAAGAGTCCTTTGCCCTGCAGAGTTTGGTGGACCATCCCACGTGAGGTGTGTCACTCAGCAGTTTGCCTGAGCAATTTTTTCTGAGGTGCTAAAATCCTGGTGAAGTCAACAGGAGTGGTCAATTTCCAGCAAGACCGGTGAGATAAGTTTTACAGTGCTGCCTGACCCAGAGCTGCTGGCTCTTGCTGGTGCAGTCCTCAGATCCCATCCCCAGCCCTCAGTCCCTGTTCAGTTTCACTTCTACCTATGTCGCAGCTGGAGTCCAATTTCGTCCATTTTAAAACCTTCCAACAAAATGGAGCTTTTCTCAGTGGCTCATTTCTATTGCACCAGTGAGGGGGTGCTCAGAAAGTCTGGATAAGAAAACTTAGGTCTTCTTTAGTGATTAACTGTTCTGGAGCACAGCACTGCAGGTGCCCAGGTGCTGGTGGGGGCTGCAGGGTGACCTCTGTGAGGAGCAGCCCTGGGCTGGACACGACCAGTTCCAGATGGCTCCAGGGCACCAAGCTCAGGGCACAGCTGAGGCTGATGGTGGTGCCTCCGGGAAAGCATTTGTAAGGAAGGTTTGGAAGTGCCACAGAGAGAGGAGGAACAAAAAGAGTGAGAAGCAGAAGGTGGAGCACCAAGACCAGAAGATGAGGAGGAAGAGGAGCTGCTCTACACCAGGGCAGATATTTCACTACAGCCTGTGAAACATCCATGCCAGAGCAGGCTGAAAGTCTGAGAAGGATAAAGCAGTGAAGAGGAACCACCGTGGGCCAGCCATTACTGACAGAGACTGGTGTGAAGGAGTGATTTTAAGCTTGAGAAAGGAGGAAGAAGGAAAGATGTTAATTTAATGTTTGCCTTTCTCTTTCCCACTATCCACATCATGAAACCATACATTTTCATGAGCTTATTTTCCCTGAGTCTTCCTTGTTCACAACAGTAATTAGTAAACAATCTGCCAGTCCTTAGCTCAACCCATGAGCTTCCTCATTCTTTCTTGTTCTTCCTATTTTCTCTCCCTGAGTGAGGGCAGGAGTGAGCAGCTGGGTGGAGGTTTGGCTGTTAACCAAGGCTGACCCACCACAGCTGGTTCTTACAGAGATCCTATACATGTCCTACTGAAAATCAACAAAATGCTATTTGTCCCATGCTGGGGGTCGCCACTTAGACCACAAGACAGAACATATGTAAATTGTACATTGCCACAAGAATTTATCCCACCAATCCCCAACTCTAGAAATTCATAGCTAGTTTTTTTTATACACAGCAACTGACTGCTTACTGTAGTCTTGTTTAGATGCCAAATTCTCCATGATAAAAACTCTAGGACAACATAATAGAAGTGCAGTAAGCACAGTTTTAGAGAAGTCTTTATCTGCTAGGACACAGGCACTCAGGAGAGCAGCTGAAACACTTTTCCTTTTCCTATCTTAAAACTTTTCTTCCACCTCTCAGTATAGTAAGAAATGAGAGACTTACCCCCTTAGGGAGAACACTGGTCTCCCACTGGTCTTTTAAGCTGCTTTGAACTTAAAACAGTCAGCATCTGACTGCCCTCAACTGCACACCATTGGCAGCACTTCTTTCCAGGGATTGAAGATTTTGGAAGCCAAGAAAAAAATTAAAAGTATTATATGAATAGTAGTGTTGAAAGTGAAGATGTGAGGGTCTGGTAATTGACAAAATAAAAGGAAATGAAAAATGTTTTATGAGGGTTCCTAGGCAGGAACTACACATAAAAGTAGTATTTGCTAAATATTCATCTTAAGAAGGTGATATTTCTGCCACCTTTTAGTTCTCCAGAAGGAACAAATACAAAGACAATTGAAAGTATGAAACATGTATTATTTATACACCTGAAAAGGTCACTAGATCTCTAGCTTGAATACAATCCATTTATCCTAAATGAAGTTCTCCAGAAATTCCCAGTTAGCCAAATACATAAGGAGTCATATTATTCACCTATGGGCAAAACAGAGTACTCCTCCCAATGCTGAATTCTTAGAAATTTGATTAAACATTGAAATGACATAACATTTTGTGGGGTTTCTCTTGATTTACGGATTTTTGTGTATGCATGTCATTTGTGATATATACTCCACACAACCATTTGTTCTGAAGTCCTCACATCTCAAGAACTGGGATCGTTATTGTTGTAAATACTTCTCATACTGAAGCAGAGTTTTCTTCAGTTTTGTCTTTTATTATGATAGAGATTAGTCAAAATTTTAGAATACATTATATTTTGGCTGGTCCAAAAACCTAGCAATTCATTCAGTAATGCTTCCTTTGGGAAAAGTATTGTAAAAATTGCACTTTCCAGATACAACTTTTATTACACAGCTCTTTTACCAACACTCACTAGATAAAATTTCTTTACAACTTTGAGTCTTTTTCTTTGGCTGAGTTGCTTGTTCTCAAAGGGAAAAATATGTTCTTACTCAAATAGTGGCCCCTGTGTTCCCTTTGGCTTGATTCTTGCTCTGTATTAAGAATAACCTAAGTTGTGCCATTTTTCTTCTCCACCCATTGCAGGAAAAATCCGAGTTCAAAACCGTTTAAGGAAGCTGAAGGTGCACAAGTCCATGGGACGTGACAAGATACAACCATGGGTACTGAAAGAACTGGCTGAGGAAGTGGCTATGCCACTACCCAACATATTTGAGAAGTCATGGCAATCTGGTGGAGTTCCCACTGACTGGAAAAGGGGAAATATAATACCCATTTTTAAAAAGGGAGATAAGGAAGAAGCAGGGTACGACAGGTCAGTCAGTCTCACCCCAGGGTCTGGCAAGATCATGGAGCAGCTCATCCTGGAAACTCTGCTAAGGCACAAGTTAAATAATGAGATGATTGGTAACAGCCAGCATGGCATCACTAAAGTCAAATCATGCCTGACAAATTTCCTGTCCTTCTACCACAGGGTTACGGCAGTGGTGGATGAGGGAAGGGCAACAGGCATCATCTCCTTGGACTTGAACCAAGGCACTGTCCCACGTGACATCTATGTCTCTAAAATGGAGAGACGTGGATCTGATGAGTGGGCCACTGGGTGGATAAAGAATTGGCTGGATGATCATGCTCAAAGTGTTGAAGTCAGTGGTGCAATGTCCAAATGGAAAGCAGTGCCAAGTGGTGTTCCCCAGGGGTCAGTGTTTGGGCTGGTGCTTTTTAACATCTTTATTGGTGACATGGACAGTGGGTTTCAGTGCACCCTCAGTGAGTTCACTGATGACACCCAGATGTGTGATGCGGTCAACACACTGGAGGGAAGGAATAACACCCAGAGGGATCTTGTCAGGCTTGAGAGGTGGGCCCAGGTCATCCTGATGAAGTTGAACAACGCCAAGTGTGAGGTCTTGCACCTGGTTTGGGGCAGTCCCAAAAACAACTTTAGGCTGGGCAGAGAATGGAAAGAGGCTAGCGCTGGGGAGAAGGACTTAGGATTGCTGGTAAATGAAAGACTTGACATGACTCAGCAGTGTGTGCTAGAAGTAAAAAAAGCCGTCTGTATCCTGGGCTGCATCAAAAGCAGCGTGGCCAGCACATCAAAGGAGGTGATTCTCTCCCTGTACTCTGCTCTGGTGAGACCCCAGCTGGAGTACTGTGTTCAGGACTGGGAACCCGAGCACAAGAAAGATGTTGACATGTTGGAGCAAGTCCAGAAGGGAGTCATTAAGTTGAGCACAGGGCTGGAGCACATCTCCTATGAAGATAGGTTGAGAGAGATGGGGCACTTCAGCCTGGAGAAGAGAAGGCTTCGGGGATACCTAATAACAATCTTCCAGTACCTACAGGGAGCCTGCAAGAGAGCTAAAGAAGGACATTTCACAACAGCATGTAGTGACAGAGAGAATGGCTTTAAGCTGAAGGAGGTTGGGTTTAGTTTGGATATTAGAGAGAAAGTTTTTACGATGAGGGTGGTGAGGCTCTGGAACAGGTTGCCCAGAGAGGTTGTGGCCTCTCCATCCCTGGAGGTGTTCAAGGCCAGGTTGGGCGGGACTTTAAGATACCTGGTCTAGTGGAAGGTGTCCCTGCCCATGGAAGGAGGGTTGGAACCAGATTATCTTTAAGGTCTCTTCCAACCCTAACCATTCTATCATTCTGGAATTCTACAGGATACTCTGCCAACAGGCAAACTTCTTCCCAGATTTGATTTTATCTGAAATGTTCTATTAATTTTCTTTCAGAATACCAAATGGTAATAAGCATGCCCATGTTTACGCCTTTGGGGTTTTTCTCAGTCACCAATAAAATTGTAATAGATAGTATGGCTGGTGGTTGAATCTGCAAACTGCTGAATTTCGGTAGTAGCAGAGGTAATAGGAAGTTTTTTCCTGTTAAGTTTGATATTTGCTTTCATAATTCTATTTTTTTTTTCATTTTTTGTGCTAAATTTTTCTCAGGAAATAATTTGTTCTTCTATTAATCCCATGTTAAACTCCACCTAGAAGAAAAAGCAATCTTTTTTGAAACTGAATCACCAAACTAAAAAATGTTATTTATGGTAAAGAGTAACAGAAACATTTAATTCACCTGCTTTTTTAATTCTAAAGAGAGGTATTACAAAATGGAGGTCTTCTTGGTTTTGAATCTGACAAAGAAATGGAAAAATAAAGATGCTACCATTATACTCCAGGCATACTTTCCAGCTGAATGACAAAGATATAATGCAAATTTATCATACAACCCAACTCCTGTGGAGTTTCTTTTCCTTCAGAGAAGAAACAATGAAAAGGAGAAGTCTTGAGTACCACATTGATAAATTAAGGCTTAGAAGAAGTGTTTCAGTGAAGAAAAGACAACATGAAGACAACTGGATGAGAACCTTCCATGCACCTCTCTAATCTGCATCTTCTTGCTAAAATCATGCAGCCAACCTTCCCCAAAACAGCTGAGTCACCTTTGCTTTGATGTGAGTGTGTATAACTCTGCCTTGAGAAAATCTAAATAAATCACTACTGCTTGAAGGCTTTTTTTGAGTGTGCAAGTCCATGCAGTGTTCTGCTGTTTTACACATTTAAGTGATTACATAGGTACACTACCATACCTACATTTCAACTGGAATGACGACACATTCTCTAATAAATCAAATTAGTAAACTGGAACAAGGAACTGGAGTGATGAGTCACATAACTTTAGGAGCTCTTTTAAATTCACAAAAAATATAAAAAAAAGTCGACCATAAAAACTAAAATACCCATTTTTCTAAGCTTTTAAACCCCTTACTGTTAAAATCATACAGATCATCCTCCTTTTTAGTTTATTTTCAAGAGTGTTTTTTTCTATTGATGCCTTGCCAAGTGATTTATTGCCTCTGGGCAGATGTAATAGGGACATTTGGATCCAGCTCCGAATTCACTTTTTTTAAACTGATTGATCATTTAGCTAATTATTTTGGAATCTTCCCCAAAGATTAGGAGAGAAAATTGAAGCACCAAAGCATTTTGTCATGTATTTATTTTCAAAACAAAAGCCGAAAAGGCATTTAGAAAATTAGTACCAGTAACAGTGAGGTTATTAAATGCTAAATGTCATGAAAATGAAACATCTGGGTGCTTCAGCTTCCAGAAATTAAAGCCAGCAGCATGACTCTAATTTGCTCAAAAGTTAATGATTTAAAGGAAAAAATAGTTTAGCATTTTCAGCTGATAGGAATGTTGTTGACGTCCTACAGTTTCCATGGATTACAATTAGTGAAAATGACAAGTTAATATAATCAAGGGCAAGAATACTTCAGAATTAATCCAGGTATGGGAGACAAATTCACATATTCATGGGGATATTTTACAGATTTATCTGTTTGTGGGCAGCTGTGTCATGGACGGGAGTGATTGGCAGACCAGAGTAAAAAGGATTTCTGCAACGTAGTTGACAAATTCCCTAAAAAACCCACAGAAACAGAGTAGTTAACAAGTTTGGCTATGATCCCGTTTGACAGCTATCACCCTTCATATTGAGACCTCTGCTATGAAGGGGTCTTTTATCACATGCAATCATTGTCATTTTTTTTCTTCCAAAAATATGTAATTCTCTGCCTTTCTTTATATAAATACATATGTTAGAGTGTTAAAGTCATTCTCTAACACTTTTTCTCTAATACTGATATGTTGTATAAATAATATCATCAGCTAAGATGCAAAGAACTTAGCTGTAGGATGGAGCTGAGGACTTAAAACTTGTAATGGAACTCTCAGTTTAAGAAAATTCTGGTATCCATTTTTAGATCAGACCCTTCTTTTATTTTGGTCATATAATTGTCTTAACCAAAACTTTTAAGTGACAGAAAATTATTCAAATTAAATTGTTTGATACTTTTAATGAGATCAAAGAAAGACCTTTTCCAATAATTTTACATAATTTAAAGGTTGATTTTAAAGATAGCAAACAATAATTAAATCCAGAAATACATGACACAGAGGTGCTATCTTCCAAGATGCCAGCAATGAATGCTTTTCACACTGTGTCTGACTTCTTACCTATTGATGGCTCAAACAGCTATCACTTGAAAAATACATTTAGTAGAGCTACACTCTAGCTAGGTATCAGCACTTTGACAGTCATTGCCAAAAAATAGCATACAGAGACTGATGAGAAGAAATGTCTGTGTGTGTGGATGCAGCAAGGCACCTGGACTCCTATGGACTTGCAGAGACCTAAGCATACTCCCTCAGCACACATTTGTAAATTCCTGGAATTTAAAGCTGAAATAGGCTTATATTTTAACCTGTGGCCTTTTATATGGAGTATAATAACTCAAGCTGGAATAAAGTGCAGTTCTTTAAAATCTGTTTCAGCCAAACTAAAGGAAGTTTTGTAGATTAAGTACTCTCTTTTTCCCATGCTGTCTGTAATTATAATAAGTTTCAGTTTCCAGTGATGGAGACCTGTCTTTTCTTCCCACAAACACAACTAGAGTAATAGTTTATGTTACTGTTCTCCCATCAACCTTGATGAATCTATGCCAATTTACTGTTATATGTGACTCTTGAAATTTAATTTTGCCAACTCTGAAGGCTCACATGAGGCAGAGATCTAAAAAAATCACTTCAATGTAGTGCATTGATGAATCTATGCTAATCATTATTGTATTTCATTTTGAAAATCAGATTTTTCCTACTGGGAAAACCTTCAAGAGACACAGATTCAAATAAGCCCCGTCACTGCTATTCTCCAGGAGATGAAGAACTGGAAAAGCTATAAATATTTTTAATTTTGGAGTACTGAGATGTTTAGCTAGGACAACAACTCAGATAATATTAAATGTGCACATATTTGCACATTAAAAATTAAGGGTTTTATATTAAAATTAACTGACTTAAATTATTTAAAAGTTTGAAAACTAACTTTGTCTTAATAGAAAGACTTCTAAAATAGCCAAACTAGGAACTGGTTTATGAAACCAATTTTTAACTTATGAAAAAAATGCCCAGAGAAAAGCTATTGAGTGGAAAATCCCACACATAAATAGTGAGACATTCAGGACACAAATGCGAGTGCAAGCATGGAATCTCTCCTTCCTGAGAAGGACCTTCTTCCACTCCTTCCCTCTCTCTCTGAGAGATCAGATCTGCACGTAGTTGTTCACCCCAACAAGAAATGAGAAGCAGGAGAACAGTGAAAAAAGATGAGAGCAAAGTCAAGGCACAAGGGACACAAGGCTCTGGATATTTGGAGGTAATGGAAATCAAGAAACCATAAGGTCACTGCTACAAAGTTAGATTTTATTACACTCAAGCATTTTCTGTTCCTCTCTGGGGCAGTAGCATTCAAAATTTTGCAAGTATTTCTGAAGGGTTATCTTTGGATGTCCAGTGCTAATGTTCAAAACAGGAATTCAAGCCATTTCCCTTGTCCCTTGCAAGTCACAAGCAGGCTTTGCCTGCTTTTGTTAAATTTTTTTTTTTTTTTTTTTTTTTTTTTTTTTTGGTAATAGCTTTGATGGATATCATTCCCTGATCAAATCAACTGGCCTAGCCAGCATAAATCTGCAAGCTCTGCATCTGAATCTGCTGACCCACTAAAAAATTAGCATTCTCTTCCCTCCTTCTCTGTTCTCTGGCAAGCACCCAAATAAACCAAGATGTCTGTCATCAGTAGATGGATAAACATCACCCTAAATTTTGATTGCTAGTTCCTCTGGGAAAGAAAAATGCCTCTGTGCAGTGTGATCCCAGTGCTCTTTGGAAAACTGATGATCACACACGGGATATCAGACAATGGAGGCTTGCATCTGTGATGTGCTGGGAAGTTGGCTTTTCAAGGGGACTGAACTGCTGTCACCTCACAGGAAAGTAATTAGTTACCCACCAGATACGGCCCCAAAAGTATTTATGGAGATGAGCTTCCTCATGTGTGTGAAGACTGGGAATTATTTGCTTCATGAATCTGTCAGAGCCCAGCTCATGCCAAACAAGACACCCAAGCAGGGTGCTCCTGAACTCCTCGAGTCTGGTTCCTCCATTAATTGTTGTTGTTGGTAACTATCATTTGCAACATATTTGCATGGAGTTTGGCACACATCTCAATAACATATGATAAAAATAAAAAATAATAATCTATATTATTAGTTATATACTATGATGATAGTTTAGCTAAAAAATCATCTGATCTTTAACAATCAAGAGTCCAATATATAATATTATGTTCATACTTGTCTTAATCTGAAAACTGACAAAAACAAAACAGTAACAGCTAAATTCATCTAATTTTAAAACTTAAAAATATGTGGGATTACACAAAAAAATGTAATGAATTCTATTCTCTAACTCAATTTCAATGGGAAATACTTTCTGTTATACTCTCACTGGTAAAAGAAAGGAAAGCAGAAGGCCCCATATCACATCATTGTGTCTGACAGAAAACCAGCTCCTTACCAAAATTAATTAGTTTTGCTCTTTTAATGCATCCAAAGGCTTCTTCATATGTTTAATTTCTTTTATATTGGAACAGATATTAGATAATGCAACTGTTCTTTCTTTGTCAAAGAAAAAAAAATACTCACTACTGTCCCATGAGATGAGTATCTAAGCTCAGGAAGGGAAGTACAGAGCCTGATATTACACCAGAAAAAGTTTCACCATTCCCACATCTCCTGTCTCAGCTTTCCATGAGATTCTATGAAACATTTGTTCCATTGCCTGCATCTTCCACTCACTCACGACAGAACAGAAACCAACTTAATCTTTTTAACCACTAAATGTTCTTGGAAACAGCAGCCCTGGGCTTAATAATTCTGCCTTTACATTGCAAAAAAGTATAACATCATATATAAATACTAGGAATTCTCCATGTGGAACAAATATTCATATATAAGAATATTTTTTTTTCCTGCAGAGTAGGCTCCAACTCTTGTGATCTGCATGGTGTATTACTTCCAGAAATGTGATTCTGGCTGCTGACTAAAATTCTGATGTGTGAGGACAAAAAGAAGAAAATGTGCACACTCCTCTCACTGCAGAAATAAAAATGGGATTAGATTCTCTGCCCAGCTCCAACTGTCACAACAAAAAAAATAAATACTTCAGGTTTTTGGTTGAATGTTAAATACCATGTAAAAATGGTTAATAATTGGGAAATTTTTAGAGCACACAGAATTTTCATAACTCTTAGGAAGCTTTTATAAACATGTGTCAAGAGAGACACTGTAATAGCTCATCCTGCCTAGGAGCAAGGATAATCACCTCACAGTCCCCATTCTAGCCCTAAGTGCTATGGTTGAATTAGTATATATTCTTACTCTTTTCTTTGCTGTAGCAAGGAATACCTGAAGTGACAAGAAATTATATGCACCTTTATATTTAACCAGCTTTTAAAGCAGCATCTGAGGTGTTCAACAAACTATTGCATTCTGACAGTCAACACTATGGCATATTCTCTGATATATTTGAAAGCAGAGGGATACATTAAGCTTTTTTCTGATAAGTCAGACCTCACTTCAGTAAAAGCTTTGTGAATCCCACTGGTACAGTTGCT